TCTCTCTCTCTCTCTCTCTCTCTCTCTCTCTCTCTCTCTCTCTCGGAGCCGCAGTGGGGCTGGTGGCTCGGAGTTCTGGATGTGGTGCAGGAGCCCTTCATTCATGTCTGAGCTCCGTCACCTGCTACGTGCAGCCGAGGGGGGCGGGTATTGCCACGTTCCTCACCTGTAAAATGCAGTCATCAGACAGCTCGCCTCCTAGGGTCCCTGTGAGGATTACACGAGTCAGTAGAAGCAGAGTGCTTAGGACAGGGAGCGCCTGGGGAGGGGATGAGCTCAGCGAGGATGCGCCATGACCAGGACGCACCTTCAGGGAAGGAAGCACGTGTGGAACGGTATGTAGGCGGTGACTCTGTTATTTCCTACATATTGCGTACGTGTCGCGTGTCTGTACCAACGTGTTGACACACTTGTGAGAAGGGATATTTCAGGGGATTTTAATGAAATCATTGGTTCAGTCAAGTGCTTGAATCGTGCGGTTCCACGTGGGATCCTTTTCTGTGTCCCGTTCATCCTTTCCCTTGTTCGTGGATGGAACGATACCTCTGGAGCAGGACATGCAGTGGAGAGCGAGAGGGTCACTAAAGTCACAGAGATACCACGTCCTGGAAGGGGAGACCGTATTCAACAAGCACACGGTTAATCACTTCATCACAAGTGCGGCGCGAGCTGGGGGTGTGGTGGTGAGGGGCCCGGGAGCCCTGGAAGAAGTCGCGGGGGCAGCTGGTCACTGAAGGATGAGCAGGGTTCCCAGGGGAGAGGGGGGTATTCTGGCAGAGGGGGCAGCGGGTGGGAAGGCCTGGAATGGCCAGGAAGGCCGGGAGCCAGGGCGGGGCGGGGGTGATGGGAGTAGGTGGCAAGGGAGCTCCCTTTTGGACCCAGAAAGCCATAAAACAGACAGCCACATGTAAGGGTTTCAGACAGTGGGGAGCTGTGCTTAAGTGTAGGTTTAGACGTGCTCCCCCAGCTGCCCGGGGAGGTGATGCAGGGACACCCAGCGGAGGGGTGAGGGTGGCTGCCAAGGGGGGCAGCTCCAGGCAGGGGGAACTGGATTGCCTTGAAAGGCAATCTGATTTACACTGAGACTCTCCCAGGTTAACCTCGTGGTAAAGAAACGCACCTCAACGCCAGGACAGCGTGGCAGCTTAGCACATGAAGCGCTGGGAAGACAAAGAGGCTGAACTAAAACCCCTTAAAAGCAGTCAGTATCCCGGCAGATGCACTGCCTGCCCTCTGCTGCTGCAGCTGCATCCCAGGGCCCCGGGCGGAAGCGGGCTGCGCACCCCGCCTGCCTGCTCTGCCCCGGTGGGCGGGCTCCCTCCGCAGCCTGTCGCCAGGGCTCCTGCAGCGCTGCCAGCAGGGGGCGTGGCTGGATTTGAAGCGATGACGAAACAGGAAACTGGGCAGCTCTTCTGAAGGCCGGGCCTCCAAGGCCAGTGTGCCATCAGGGTCCGGGCCCGGGGCCTGGGGCTGCCTGACCGACAGCAGCTCTGGCTGTGAGAGGGACGGGCCAGGTCTGACCGGCGACCCCGCCATCTGTCAGCCAGGGACTGTCAGCAGCGTGAGTGAAGCAGGGGCTCCGGCAGGGCCGCCCACCCAGCACCTGCTCTCGGGGCACCCAGGTGGGCGCCGGAAGGAGACGAGATGGCGCCTCGGCCCTTCTGCTGGCCCCGAAGGGTGAGCAGGGTTTGGGCCAGAACCCGCTGCGTGGCTGTGTCCACGGGTGGCTCTCCCGGCGCTCTAGGGAAGGATGCTTTTGCTGTCACGGCGCTGGCTTTCGCCCGCAGAGACTGCGGGGGCGGGCGGAGGCCCTCGTCCTCCCTCACGGCGCAGCCCAGGCCTGAGCTCGCCCACCTCTGCACAGCGCGGTGGGTCCTGGACGGCCGGCCCGCGTTAACCGGGGCAGGAAACCCACGGTCTCCTCCACAGGATGGAAGCACGAGGCCTCTGGCTGTTGGTCTGAGCCAGGCCGACAGAGCGGGGCTCCGTGGCGGGGACATCAGAAAGCTCTGGGGCCCGGGCTGCGTCTACCACCCACAGACCGAGGCCGAAATGTGCTGTTTTCCTGGCCCTTGGTGAAGAGAGGAAACTGGCTGAGCTAATTCGGGAGCCAGGAAGACGGGCGGTTCGCAGGTCAGTCAGGCATCCGCAGGGTCACGTGACGGGCGAGCCGGGGCCCGGCTGAACCGAAGTTCAGTTTCCAACTCGAAAGTCCTGTGTCGGAACCACCACCGGGAGAGACGAGCTGGAAGCTCGGGATTGGGCGGGTGGCCAGCGCACAGTAAGCGGGGGGCTTCTTGGCCTCGGGTTGGACGTTGTTCAAGGTGACTGGCCGATGAGCCAGCCTGAGCCGTGAAGATGCGGGGCGGCGCTCAGAGACCGGGCTGTGGCGAACCCCCTCGCGGCCCTGCTCCTGGCCTGGCCTCCTTTCCCAGCCCCTCCTTGGGCAGGAAGGACATACGCTCTGGCTGCTTCCCCCCTCTTGTTCCCGTCTCCCAGGAGTTTCCTTGGCCATGGTCAGCCTGTCCCGTGTCCTGTGCTGACCCCTTATCTGGCCACCGTGACCAGAGGAAGGGGCTGCCTGGGCTCCGCCGCTGGAAGCTGGATTGGTCCGAGGGGGGCGGATGGGTGTGGGGACAGCAGGGAGGGGGTCAGTCCTCTCCTTGTCCCCTACCATGTCGCCTGAACCTCAGTATTCCTTCAAATCCATCTTTCTAGCTCCCTCTTCTTTTTTTCCCCTAAAAGCAGTGCCTTTTCATTTTTGAAACTTCTGAATATTTAGGGTCATTTACAACATAGTGACTTACCACTGTAATTGCCCAAAGAGCCCTGGGCGGAAAAGGGGATTTACTGGCTCGTGTAACTGAGGATGTTGTTTCCTGTCCGTGGTGAATGCAGTGCTGTCTGTGTGGGGACCACTGGCCCCATCTTTGCCCTTTTGGGTGTGGAAGACTCTTTGCTTTGCACAGTCCACACTCCCAGCCGCCCCATCATGACCCTTTTCTATCCCAGATGTCTCAGGTGGGAGTCACTGGGACCAGGGCTGATGGAAGGGTGCACTGGGCCTTGGAGAGGACCCTCCTCCCTAGGGGAGAGGTCGGAGGTGCGTCCCCACTAGTCGGAGAGCAGCCAGGAGTGGGCACACGCTGGCCGTGGCGGACAGAATGGCCCGCTGCTCGGCAGTTCTGTGCCGAGCACCTTGTCTGGTCACTGCTCCCAGATGCCTGAAGGTTCAGCATCTCCCTGGCGGGCTTTCTGTGGTGTCAGTTTCTTTTAAAGATGACATTAGTGTCAGGCTGGCAGTTTGGGACATCATCCTTCTGTTCAGTGAATGCAAGCCCTTTTGAGCAGGATTGATAGAGGTATTAAGAATTATCTTCCTGGAATCAGAATGAAAGTGCTATTGCTCACTGTGTCTGTTCTAGGTCACTGGGGCTGAAGCCAGGCAGGATTTTGGGGGCACTCAGAATCCTTCTGATGGAGCTCTGCATTTGAAGCCTGGGTGCAGGAGTTTTCAGAAGAGGATGGTGCTCTGCATGACGGCTGTTTGGCTTGACAGACAGACCCCTGAGTCTCAAAGGTATTCTCCTATGTTTTCTTGTAGCAGCTATATTCTTTAAGCTTTAATGTTTAGGCTTGTGATACATTTTGAATTAAATTTTGTGTACAGTGTGTGGTAAGGGTCGAGGACTTTACTTTCAAGTACCTGGTTGTTCCAACACTGTTTGCTGTAAAGATGTTCCTTTTCATATTAGATCACTTCTGTGCCTTTGCTGCATCTCCTTTTGCTCTCTCTATCCTGTTTCATTGATGTATTTGTTGTTATTTTATACCAGTGTCACACTGCCTTGATTACTCTAGCTTTGTAGTGAGTATTGAAGTCAGGTAGTAAGTCTGCCAACGTTATTCTTCTTTTCTAACATTGTTTTGGCATTTTAAGGTACTTTGCATTTCCATACAAATTTTAGAACCAGCTTGTGAATTTCTACATAGAAGCCAGCTGTGCCTTTCATTGAGATTATGTTAAATTTATAGAGAAATTTTGGAGCAGGTGACATTCTTAACAATATTGAGTCTTCAAAGCCATGAACATGGGATGTGTCTTCATTTATTTAGGTCTTATTTAATGTCTCTTTGTAATATTTTGTGGTTTTTTAGTGAACAGATATTGCATATACTTAGTGAATTTATTGCTGAGTATTTTGTTTTTTTCATGCTATTGCAAAAGGAATTTTTAAAATTTCATTTTCCAATTGTTTTTTGCTAGGATATAAATTTACAGCCTATTGTTGTATTTTAAACATGTGTTCTGGGACCTTGCCAATTCATTTATTAGTTCTAATAGTTTCATAAATTCCTTAGGATTTTCTCTGTAGGCATTGGGGTTATATGCAAATAGATAGTTTTACTTCTCCTTTTCTAATCCCTGTGCTGTTTATTTGCTTTTTCTTGTCTGATTACAATGGTTAGGACTTCTAGTGTAATAACCGAGTATGTGTACTGAGAGTAGATGTCATCCCATTATTCCCTGCATTAGGGGGGGAAGTATTCAGTCTTTTAACATTCAGTATAACTTTAGCTGTTTTTTTTTTTTTTAAGGTCCCTTTAGCAGATTGAACATGTTCCTTTCTAATCCTAGTTTGCTGAGGTTTTAAAAGTCATGAATGATTGTTGAGTTTTGTTAAATGTGCAAATGCTTTTTTCACATCTATTGAAATAATTGTATGCTTTTCTTTTATTCTGTTAATAATGTGGCTTATATTTATTGCTTTTCTAATGCTAAACCAACCTTGTATTCTTGGGTTAATTCTCACATGGTCATGTGATATTATCCACCTTATATCTGCTAATATTTTGTTAAGGAAATTTGCATGTTTCATGAGGTATCCTTTTCTGTGATTTTCTTTTATTGTAGTATACTTTTCAGGTTATTGTATTAGAATTATGCTGGCCTCGTATAATGGATTTGGCATGTATGATGGATTTGGCAAATGTTCCTCTTTTATTTTCTGAAAGAGTTTGTACAAGAGTGGTGTTATTTTCTTCTTTAACATATACGGGGCCATTCAGATTATATGTTTCATCTGTGTCAGATTTGGTAAGCTGTGTATTTTTCACAAAATTTGTGCATTCCATCTAAGTCACCAAATTTGTTGGCATAAACTTCTTCAAATACTCCTTTATTTTCCTTTTAAAATCTGTAGGTTCTATAGCAACAGTCCACCCTTCATTCCTGAAATTGATAATTTGTCCTTTTTCTCTTTTTTTAACCAGTACAGCTATAGGGGGTTTGTAAATTTTATTGCTCTTGTTTGTTTTCTATTTCACTGATTTTATTACTTCCTTCCTTCTGTTTAATTTGGGTTTACTTTGCTCTTCTTTTACTAGGTTTTTAGGTTGTACATTCATTCATTAATTTTTCAACTGTTTTTTTCTAATATAAATATCTGAAGTTATAAATCTCAGCACATTCCAAAAATCATATGATTTGTATTTTCATTGTCATTCACTGTGAATATTTTCTAAATTTCCCTCATTTTTTTTCTATGAGATATGGGTTATTTAGAAGTATGTCTGATTTTCACACACTAACAGTTTTTTGAAATATGATTATTAATTTCTAATTTAATTCCACTTTGGTCAGAGAACATATATATGATTTTAACCCCTTTACATTTAATAAGTCTTATTCTATTGGCCTGTATAGTGTGTCTTGGTGAACATGCTAGGTGGGCTTGCAAAGAATGTGTATTATGCAGTTTTTGGTTGTAGTAAAGGGCAAATCTGTAGTTTACTCATTTTTAATCTATTTGTTCTATTAATCTATGAGGGAAGGAAATTTAAAATCTTTAACAGTGTTTGTGGAATTATCTGTCCTTTTAATTCTATCAATTTTTGCTTCATGGAGTTTGAAATTCTATTAGGTACATGCATATTTATGATTATTTTGTTTTCCTGTTTCTTCATATATCTTGTACTTTTGGATTATATCCTAACTTTGTGAGTGGTATGTCATAGAGACTCTGTATTTTGTTCTGTGTCTCCAAAGATTACTTATTTTCTTTGTTAATCAGGCAGTATATGTGACTGAACTCAAACTTCAAATGTTCTCTCTCTTGTGGTGTGAATAGCTCATATCCAAGTTCAGTTCTTTCAGTCTTAGCAGGGCAGCTTGGAGCCTGCCCTGCCTCTGTGTTGTTCAGTGGTCAGCCAGAGACTTGGGTTGAGTTTATACATGGAATTCCTTCTCCTGTCCTGGCTGTCTCCCCACCAGTATTTCCCATTTATTCTCCAGTGGTCATGGTTGCTCCAAGCTCCTTTCTCTGGTTCTTTAAGCCAGAAAGACTGAGGATTTGCTATTGAAGTTTAGCTGCCCTGAATGTCTCAGATTTGGACCTGCTCTTAGACTAAAAGTCATAAGAATGGGAAATTCACCCCATGCTGTTCCCTTTTTCCAAATATCTACTCCCTCCAGTGTCCACCTGCATCTGATCACTCTCCAGGGCCTTCAGACTTAAAAAAATATTGTCTAAAACTTTTAGTTTGTATGTGTGGGAGGGTTAGTCCAATAGGAGCAATTTATCCATAACCAGAAGTGGAATGATCCATTTGCTTTGTATTTTCCAAAATTTTTTTGCTGTTGACTTACTTACATACTTAGATTCTGTCCATATGAGCCGATGTTATTTTTATCCTTTTGCTCTTATTTTACTGAGTTTTTTCTAGGTAGCAGCTATAAATGCATTTATTCAAGCTTCTGTGTTTAATCTAGAGTGTTTTTTCTATTTTGAATAATTTCCAAAGAAATTCTGGGTTAAAGGGCATAAACACTTTCAAAGCTTGTGATAAGTGCTGACAACATATCTTAGATTCTGTTTTCACCCATCGCTCTCTCTTTGCAGTAATAGCCCTTGTTTGCAGAGGCGCTGCCCTTCTCTTCATTCTTTCTGGTAGTAAGAAAGGCCCACAGCTATGCTCAGAGCTGCAGCCAGGACCAGGGAGCCCCTGGGCAGATCACCCAGATGGAAGGGTTTTCCAGCCCAAGACCCAAATTAGATTCCCTAACTTTCTTCATTGATCTAAGCCTGTATATCCTCAGGAATAGTTAAATCTCTCATTGGGTTGGGTTTGCGTTTTTATAATCTCTACCTCTGCTCACCTAATCAACTTGCCACGAGTCAGGGTTATGGATTTATCATGCAGTTAATTCCCAGTCAGTTAGAGAACTAGGGTAGAAGAGAGACAGAAAAAAACATTTCAAGGTCTCATATCAGGTGCTGTTTGAATTGACCTGGAGACTCTCTGGAACAGTCAGGTCAGTTCTTGGAGGTGAACATGAACCAGCAGCCCCATGGCTGGTCAGGAGAGAAGCTGGCAGCCTGACGATGTTGTTGATCTCACTGTGTCCCAGCTCATTGGGTCTCCTCCCTGGCAAGCTCGTCACAATCCTTTCGGGCTCGATCACGGCCTTCTTTGTTTCTTCTCTTCTCTTTGGTAGCTTATGACACTCCCTGTGGACATGGAGTCTCAGTTTTCCTCAAATTGCAGGAAGCGGAGACACAGGACAGAGGGTGCTGTGGAGAGATTGTGGGTGTTGACCAGGCAGAGGATAGCCACGGTCTTGGGGAATGGCTCCCCTGGCTGCTGGAGGGCTGATGGTTCCAGAAGACCCTAACTAAGCTCTTACTGAAGGGATGCACCTGGGACTTGAATTGTCATTTCAAGGGGAGGGACAGTGGGGTGAGGAAAATATCTACTCAAAGTGTGATCTGTGGGACCAGAAGCATCAGGGTCACCTGGGAACTTGCTAGAAACACCGAATCCCACCCCAGAGCTGTGAATCTGCCTTTCAACAAGACCCCCACGTGATTTCTACACACCTTAATTTGCTCTGCATTTGCTGCACGACATCGGGGAGCAATGCATGTCACATTGCTTGGTTTTTCTAGAGAACAGAAAGCCCACCTTCACGCCCCGTTCACCAGCATTGGGGAGATGCTCACCATCGACAGTTATCAGCGGCCCCCTCCCATCTCTGCAGGGACCTCGGGGTGTGTGCCATCTGGCATGTTCTGGAAAATTCTCCATGGCCTGTCCATCCTGGCTGTGGGGACGTGCCCAGTGCTGGCCCGCCTGGTCCTCTGGGAGGAGGGTGACTTGCCGCTCTCACCCCGCACTTGGCCACCAGCCTTGAGCATTGGGGGCCTCCCCTTCTCCTTCCTCCACCGCTCAGCCTGGGGGGATCTGGTGCCCTGCCGCTCTCCCCACTACGCTCTCCATCTTTCTGCACCGTCCTCTTGGATGTGTTGACACTGACAGACACTGCCCTCTTGGACGTGGTGACGCTGTCCTGGAGAGTCTGGCCGAGGCCTCCTGGCTCTTCCCTGGGGAAGCTCGGGCCTCCGTCCTCACCACCCTGGCCTCTTCCAAGGGAAGAGGAAGTCATCTCATTGAGCGAGACTCTGCTTTTTCCCTGTGGCTTCTCTAAGGCTGAGCCTGGACCTTGAGGTGGAGGCACCTCGTGGGGACACAGGATGGGTGGCTGGAAAGGAACGTGCGGGGTAGAGAGCCATCTTGACT